AGTCTCTGCCTCACTCATCTGCCTAAGTAACCCAATGGCGCCAGAGTCATAGGAAGAGCCTTTTGGAGAACACTGGGTGGGGGGGTATTCTCTGCTACTTGCCTCTGGGTCTCTGAAGTTCCTGGTTTCTGTTCCCAGATGCTTCTCTGGAAAGAGATTCTGAGCATGTTCTTCATATCTGCGTTGGGGGAGGGTTGGTAAAGATCAGACTTTTACTGGACACCTGTTTGCACATTAGACTCAACCTGGAACTTGAAAATTAATGAAGCCACATCTTGTACAACAAGCAGCCCCAGAGGTTCAATGGATTGTCCTATAGCCTGAGAATTTCATAGGTGATTCTAATGTGCCTGGAGGGCTGAGATCAAAGGGTTAAATCCACTTTGCTGGGCTGGAGAGGTGACTCAGAGGTTAAGAGCATTGACTGCTTTTCCAGAGGTCCTGAGTTCAATTCCCAGCAACCACATGGTGGCTCACAACCATCTATAATGAGATCTGGTGCCCTCTTCTGGTATGCAGGCATATATGCAGGCAAAATGCTGTGTACACAATAAATATTTTTTAAAAATCCACTTTGCTTCACCAGGCACAGCTATGGTTAGAAAGAGGACACAAACACACTGGCCTAGAGTGGGACTTGGACCCTGGGCCTAATGTTGCTGTTAATGTGACTTATAACTCTGGGAAAAACCACCTCCTCTCTCTCAGCCTCCATTGTTTCCTGGAGAATACAGGGCTGCTCTCTCCTGGTAGTCTTCTCCCTCTTTTGACCCAGCCGTGTTTCCACGCAGCAGTGCTGGGAAATGAGCCGGGGCAGCAGGGAAAGCAGGTCGGGCCCAGCACTGGTGACCATGCTATACTCCAGCTTTCTGGGTGCCAATTCACGAAAGAAAGCCAGACTGTCTGGCCCAGCTTGAGTTGTGGGGGAGACAGCGAGCCCCCAGACACTGGAAGGAAGGAGCGTTAAGTGTAGCCACAGAGGTGCTACAGACTCTGTGCTGGGGAGATACAATGTGGGGACTCTGAAGCTCTTTCTAGGGCCAGTGAGATGGCTCAGCAAGTAAAGGCACGTGCCACCTCCAGGATCCACGTGGGGACCTTCCTTCTGATCTCTATATGTATGTACACACACACACACACACACACACACACACACACACACGAATAAAAAAGATATTTCTACTCTGTGAGCTCGAGGCCAGCCTGGTCTACAGAGCGAGTTCCAGGATAGCCTCCAAAACAATACAGAGAAACCCTGTCTCGAAAAACAAACAAAAAGAAAAGAAAAGATATTTCTACACCTCATATCTAGGATTCAGCAGAAAGAAAGGCGATGCAGCTGCATTGGGGAGATGTCAGTGCAGATGCCTTGGGGCTGCTCCTTAGAGGTGCAGCTCACCTTTGCAGTGACAAGAGATAGCTTTGGGGACCACGGAGTGAGCATGAGCGAGTGTGACCACTGCTTACCCAACCATAGTTTCTCATGTATCCTTGGCCTAAGCATGTGTGGGAATCCTAAGAAGCAAGGCGGCTGGAGGAGATCCGAGTACTCAGTTTAGAAGGAGGTGAGAAGGAAGCAGTACCCACAGCAGGCGTCAGAAAGTCTTTCTGCCGGCTCTCACCTCGTCCTCGGGGAGCTCCAGAGTTCTGGCCCTGGAGCCATCTTCAGGTCTGGGCTCCAGTTTCAGGAGAGCGTCTGTGTCAGGTGATCGTTTCCCCGGCTGTCTTGTTATTTCTTTCTGTGTGGTTGTGTGAGATTGCCTTACTAGTTCTACCACTGAGGGAAGTGTCTGTGGTGTTGGAGATCAAACCCAAAGGCTCACACATGCTAGGCAAGAGCTTACTGCTTGAGCTACATCTATCATCACTATCGTCATTGTCTCCATCATCATCATCATCATCATCATCATCATCATCATCACCGTTGTCATCTGGACCACTGGGGTAGAGCCCGGGGCCTTGAGTACGCTAGGCAAGTCCTCCGCCAATGAGGTGTATCGCCAGCCCTCCTGAGGAAAGTCTTACATGTCTTCTGTAAGTCTCTTCCCTTGAATGAGGAGGGAATTGAGGCTCAGAGAGGGGACATGACTTCCTTGAGTCAACCAGCAAGTCAAAGAGAGCAGATAGCAATAGAAACAATCGATTATATTGGCTATGAGTGCTGTCTGCATACAAGACATTGCTATGAAGTGAATACTCTGCAGGGCCTATTTTATTTGATCCGTGAAACTAACAAGCAAACCCTCGGTTGTCACAAGTTCATGGATGGGGACCTGAAGTTTCAGCCCTTACATGGTCGCACAACTGAAGAAGGGCAGAGCTTTAGGATGGGGACCCAGGCCCTGTAACTCCAGAGCTTGGACATGGGACATTGTACTTTTAAGTAATTTGGGGAGACCCAAGTTTAAGTTCCATCCATGAAACAAGCTACTGTCATCAGAAGGTCTCTGGTGCTTTATCAACCTGGGCAGGAGGGAAGGAGGCTAAGAGAATGGCAGCATTAGAGTATTCACAAGGGAACCGGGCCTCCAGTTTCTCAGAGCCTCGGGCTCTGCCCCACCTGCAACCTGGCTTTCCCCTCAAGATGTCTCCTCCAATGGAGGACCCAAAGCCTGCTTTGTTCTCGCTTTGGCTTTGCCCCGTGGGATGCCCCGCCCACACACTGCTTCACACCAGCCCTGGCCCCTGCAGCTGGTGCTGTGCTTCATTTTCCCACATAGGACTTTTCCGAATCCCTAAGAGGGGGTCAGCCGTGTGAATGGCCAGGGTAGCCTCACAGGAGCACCTATAGCTAGGGAGTCATCCCTAGGCCCCTCGGCATCTTCTGGCCCTATTGTCTCCTGCCTTTCGGGAGAGGCTGTGCAGTGTAACACGTCCAGACTGGATTCTAACTCTCCACTTTATCCAGTCTGTGACCTTCAACATAGATAACAATAACCCCATAAGGCAGAGTTAAAACCTAAAGGTGGGCACCCATGAATCCCCAAGAGCTGCTGCTGGACCATTAACTGCTGCTGCTAGGTCAGAAGACAGGCTGCCTCCCCTGAGTAGTCTCGGGGAGCTCAGCTTCTCAGAGTCTCAGTTTCCTGCTCTGAGCAATGGGTTGGTGACACATTATAAAAGGGAAGTCTGAGAAGCCCTCAGCGTGGACATGCTGAGCACACAGTAGGTCCTCACTGGGTGCTCACTTTCCAAAGCATCCTGGGAGCCCGGCCAGCTGTTGAGGCAGACCTGTATATGCTCATGGCTCTCCCTGTGACAAACGCTTAGAGCAGCCTGGGAGGCCCCCTTGAGATTGTGACCCCAGCTCTGGGGTCAGAAACAAGCGAATCCCTGGGAGTTTCTAGCTGGCCAGCTTAGTCTACCAGTGGACTCCAGGCCCATGGGAGACAGGCCCAGAAAACTAGGTAGGCAGCTACTGAGGAATGACACCCAAAGATGTCCTCTACCCTCCACATACATAAATGCCCATATACATCACACACACACACACACACACACACACACACACACACACACACACACACAAATTGTTCTGGTGATGGGTGATAACTGCTGTCCAAGGGCAGCCTTTTCTTTCTTTTGTTTTTCGAGACAGGGTTTCTCTGTATTGTTTTGGAGCCTGTCCTGGAACTCACTCTGTAGACCAGGCTGGCCTCGAACTCACAGAGATCCACCTGCCTTTGCCTCCTGAGTTCTGGGATTAAAGGCACGCACCACCAACAACTGGCAGCAGCCTTTTCATAATGTATTCATTTAATTTTGTGTGTATGGCTGTTTTGACTATATGTATGTTTTTGCACAATGCATATATAATACTCATGAAGTCCAGAAGAGGGTATCAGGTGCCTGTAATTGGAGTTACAGGCAGCTGTTAGCTCCCATATGGGTGCTGGGAATGGAACCTAGGTTCTCTGGAACCACTGAGCCATACCTCCAGACTGTTTTTTTAAAATTTATGTTCTTATTTAATTTTCCTCCTTCCCATTTCTATTCTCAGTATTGTCCTTAGAACTAAGCATGCATAACTATCACTCAGAGGCTCCCTATAGTCTGAGGCCCCTGTTATGCCTGGATTTCCCTGGAAGCAGCAGCACCCCCTTGTAGAGTTGGCCATTTCTCTGTTGTGCCCTGTTGCATTTTCTCCAACCTTCTTCCCTGATCAGAGGTTTCTAGGTCTCCAGGAGCTTTGTGGTTTCTGCCTTTGGTACCCTCCTGGGTTTTGTAGCTGACCCTGTTTTAGGTCAGCTGCCTCAGAAACAGCTGCTTAGTGTATGTGCTTATGTGAGATGAGGCCACCACAACAGGCTGGTGACGGGGACACCTCACAGGCTGGTGACGGGGACACCTCACAGGCTGATGACGGGGACACCTCACAGGCTGATGACGGGGACACCTCACAGGCTGATGACGGGACACTTCAGATTACTTCTGCAGACAAGGACCTCAGAAAGCATATGTTCCCGATGCCCCAACACTTTGGGACAGTCTTCAGTCACCTTCATTCATGTCCTCCTCTCTCACAAAGAAGCCCTGAGCAGTTCACTTGAAAAGATGGGGAAATTGAGGCCTGGGAAGTAATATTGAAACACTTCCTGGCCAGAATTGAGCAGAATCCAATCTTTCTCTCCTAATTTTGGGGATCCTTTCCCACTGTAGCCCAGGCTACCCTGGAACTCGGTATGTATCGATGTCCTTGAACGTCTCTGTGCCTCTCAAGCACTGGATCAAACGTCTGTGTCTACTTGCTCCCCTTCTCCTCATCACCCCTTCCCTCCTGCCATGTCTTACAAGCCCTCCTGAGGTACCTTTCCTTCCACACTGGGCCCTTCAATCCCCTTTGTACCTCAACAATCCCCCATTCCCCACTAACACGGTGGGAGGCTATACCTCAAATATGGGCTCCGAAGCAGGAGAAGAGGGAGAGTTTCAAAGGAGTAGCCTGGGCCCCACTCCATTCCGTGCCAGTGACTCCTAACAGACCCCTCTCTCCCCTTCAGGATGCTGCAGAGCAACCAGCTCCGAGGGATCCCGGCAGAGGCACTGTGGGAGCTACCCAGCCTGCAGTCACTGTGAGTCTCTGAGGGCTCCCCTTCCTGGATCTGGGGAACAAGACAGGCCCTGCCTTAGTTTCCCTTCTTCTGAACCCAGTGCTTCTAGCTCTGGGTTCCTGAGGATTTTGTTGTTATAAGTGTGTGTCTACGACACTTCAGTGTTTGTGGGACTGTGGGAATGGAGCCTCCCTCGGTAGGGCCGCCAGGGCGGTAGTCCTGAGGCCACTGGCGTTCTGCCATGGGTGCTGGGGTGTGGGGTGGAGACTACCAGCCCAAAGAAGCACCAGGAAGGGGCTGTCTCCTCCCCTTAGCTGGCTTTTGCCCTGGAGCTCGGTAGGTAGGAGCAGGGGTTCAGGTTCAAACACCGACTTCCCTACCTACTTAGTTGGGAGAGGGGACTGTGATCATAGACTCTGGGCCACCCAGGATACAGCCCAACCTCCAAGGAGCCCTGTAGTTCCTCTTTTACCCAGCAGAGTGGGAACAGGTGCTAGGGCTGAGGGAAGCTGGTCCTGTCCACCCATTGGGCTGTATGCACACTGTGCCCAGTGCAGGACTGAGAACATGGTAGGTGCCTCACACCTGCTTGAGGAAGCCAATTGAAGTTTTGGTTGCACCTATATCCATCCAGTGCGGTGAATACATATTTTGGGAAAATCATAATTGGAGCATAGGACTCAGGTAGGAGTGACATTTAGCATGTAGGAACCTAGGCCTGTGAGATGAGTGTGTAGGACAAGGCTTGCAGTATTCTTGGATGTCGGTTCAGCTATAGCCCTGCCAAGAGCACGGGTATGGAAGTCAGACAGTCTTAACCGGCATTGACTGTCTGTGAGCAGAAGGCAGGAGACAGGGAAAAATGGCTTTTCTCTGGACTTTACCTTTAAGTAGAGGATCCCTGACCAGCTCTAGTCCCAGCCACCACAGTTTGGGGTTTCCTCTCTTTGGCTACCTGGGTATACATTGCTTTTGTTGGCTGAGTAGCCTGGGTGGCAGAAGCTGTCTTCCCTCCTCTTTCTCTGGTCTGTCCTCCCTCCAGCCCAGCAGCCTCTCCCTCCATCCAGCGGGATAGGTGGGCAGTATGCCCTGGGAGGCCAAGGTCAGATGAAAGCCAGGAAAGCCTGTGCGTGCTGTCTTGCAGGCAAACTAAACATTTGCTTAGGGCACCAGCGACGAGCTGGGAGAGCCAAAAATAAGAGGTGGTGGATGGGGCGGGGGAGGTTGACATTTCAATCAAAGCATCAAACAGACTCAGGAAAAACTTGGACTTATTTCTAAAATCATTAATTAAAAAGAAGTGAGTCACACCTTTTGCTGAGGTCTCTGAAGCTCTTGTCTTCAGAGCAGGCCTGGCACTTTCAGTTGGACGCATAGTTTCCCTCATGCGTGCTGAGCAGTGGGCAGAGCATTCACCGGCCACATTGCAGCGGCCCTCTGCTTAGGCAGGTGAGGGCAGAAACCGAGGCAGATGGGTAGGTCTTGCCTCCTGCGGTCCTGAGAACACCAGCCTGCCAGAGAAAGCTTGACCTCAGACCCTGACTCTGATCTTGGGTACATGCCTCAGTTTCTCCATCTTCAAAGCAGGGACCATGATCATACCCTGCTCACCTTCAAGGGCTTTCCTGAAAAGAACACACAGAATCTATTTGAGAGTGATGGAGAAACGGAAGGCTGCACACAGCTGTGGCAGTGTCTGTTCATCTATCCAGCCATCAGTTCATTCATTCAAAGTATGCCTGAGACTGTACTAAGTCAGCAAAGTTTGTATTAGGTCTTGAAGACAGAGAAATGCCAATCATGTAAAGAGGCAGGGAAGGGCATGATAGACAAAGGGACCACAGGGTATTAAGGTAGAGAGGTAGAGGGGGAAGAAATTGAGTGAGCACTAGGGAGTTTGGCTGAAGTGTGTGTGTGTGTGTGTGTGTGTGTGTGTGACTGGTAGGCAGGGCAGCTGTAGAGAAAGAACTGAGATTAGCAGATGACAACCCTCTAACAAGTGGCCGTCACTTAGTTAAGGATGCCATGACGATGACAGAAGGGAACCTCAGAAGGACTTTGAGCAGGACAGCAGTGGGAACGTTTATATTTTTGAAAAGTCCCCCGTTGGCAGCAGTGATGGGGACTGAGGGGGTGGGGTAAAAGCCAGGCTGCCAAGAGTGACAGTGGCCAGAAGACAGGCAGGGACAGCAGCAAAGGGAGAAGTTGATGGGCTCTGAAAACTCCAGTACTTGGGAGGCAGGCTTCTTTACACTCAGACCTTGGCTGCTCCCTGGACTTCCTGGAAGACCTGGGCAGATTACCCAACCTCCATCCTGTTTTTCCTTATCCTCACAACGATGGCAGTGTTGGCATCCACTCACCTCATGGCACGAGATGAGTTCAATGTATGGGAGAGACTTGGAACAGTGCCTTCTGTTGTCATTGCCATGGGCAACAGCAGCAGCTGACCGTGGGAGTGGGGGGAGGGAAGAAGTCACACCAACACCCACTTCTCTGACTTTGACATCATGGCAAGAGAATCTGGTCACCAAGAGCTTGGCACGTGGTGGAACTCACATAGAACTTGAGTCCTGGCTTAACCAAGGTGATCAGCAGCCCAGATAAACCAGAGGTTGTTCACTTTGTCTCCAGGGTGCAGGTGTGTGTGTGTGTGTACGCGTGCACGCAATCATGCATGTATATGCGTGTGTACTTTAACATGCATGTGGGAGGTTGGGGAGAGGAGGAAGTACCTAATGTGAGGACTCAGAATATTGGGTATTGTATCCTGAGCTTTTGGAAAGTGGAGGAGCCAAAGAAAGATTCCCTCAGACATTGAAGGGAGGTGCTCCTCATGAAATTTAGTTCCCATCATGTCAGACAGCAACAGTAAGATCAGGCTTTGTTAGCAGGTTGAGGGGACAAATGTAGCCAAGACCAGTGTCACAGACCTGGGCATCAGCTCCATGTGTTACATCGACTGTGTGGCTTCTTCATCATCCTCCCTTACCAACTGCCCTCAGCTAACAGATGAAGAGACGTGCAGGAAAGTTTTGGGGCTATCCGAGGTAGAGTTGTTGAGGCACAAGCAGGGGTACTTCAGCTGTGGGATTCCAAAGACTGTGAAGGGGCCTTTTTTTGATGGCCATTATTCAATTCCTTCCACCTTCCCTAGAGCAGGAGCAAATGGCAATTCCTACTTTCTGTTAGAAGCTGCTACATCAGGGAAGCACAGAGTCATATCTCTTTCCATGCTCTCCCATAGCATGGGCTGCCCTCTAAGAGCAGGCAAGATGCATGGTGACGCCTCCATATGGGGGCATCTCTGTTCTCTTGGAGCCATGAGCGGTTCAGCCCTGTGGGTGGGCTTTCTTTCTACCAGGTAGACCCAGATACGAGGAACAGGAACTAGGTATGGGGAGTCCAGCCTGGGACTGGGGTGGGTTCGGGGCAGCCAGCCTGCATTCCAGGGGCCAGGTACTGTGTTGGATGTGGCACATGAGCTATTTGGTTTGGCACTGGGCTGGCGGCACCCTACTCCCCGGTATCCCGCTTTGCACACACGTACTTCCTCTTGGACCAACAGGGGAGGAGAGTGCAACCGCACCAGACATGTCACATCAGGCCTGAATCCAGGCCAAGAGAAACCACAGCAAGCCCGAGGAGCCTGGGGCGAGATGGAAACTGGGTGGGGGTGAGGCAGGGCCCTGGGGAGAGCCCAGAAAAAAGCAGACGCAAAGCTCTCAGAGTCAGCACCAGGTTGGGATGGGGCTGGGCATCTTGGGAAGCATAGTGGCAAGAAAAAAAATAGAACAAAACAGAAAAGAACCCAGTCTTGGAAGCCCTGGGGAGTGTGTATCACAAGGACAGTCACTTGGCAATGGCCATTATGCTAATCTCGAAAGATAGCTTCTAGTTATGACCATCTTATAGATGAGCCAACTAAAGCCCAGAGACGTTAAATAGCTTGCTGGAGGTCACACAGTTAGGACAAAACAAGGGTGGGATTATGGTTTAGTTCATACTCCACAGTACCAAGGTCTTCACTTTGCTCTTTAATATCCCTTAATACCCTTCAGAGCTCTAATACCTTAGGGTCCAGAGGTTTGGGTTCAAGTCAATCATCTCTCTTCTTTGAGTCTAGGGTTCTCCATCTCTAAGGTGGGAAGGTCAAATAAGATGATTGGACAGCCAGGCTTTCAAAGAGATTATCCTGCCTGAAGACGATAACTTTCTGATAAGGTCGCTGGTCCTGATCTGGAATGGCTGATGACTCCTGAGACTTGTTCACTCTGGGCCTCAGTTTTACTCTCTGTGCTATGACCATGTTCCCTGTGAACCTTCCTAGCATCATGGGAATGCAGCAGAGTTGGACAGGGAGAAGAAAAACATGAATGTGTTCAGGAGAAAATGACCAAGCATTCAGTCCCATGCCAGATGCCCTCTGAGGAGAGGACTAAGAGGGCTCCTGGGGGAGATAAGGCAGGTGCCCCTCCCTCGATACTGTGACCTACTTTGAGGGGACAGCTGTACACAGACTAATGCCCCAGGCAAGGTTAATAAGAGCAGCATGCAGATGGCACTTGGTGTGTGACAGTCACTTGCACCTGTCACCAGTCTTCACATCACTCCCGTGGGACCAGTGTTACTGCCGATTTCCCTTCCTCGCTTCATAGACGAGCATCCTGAGACACAGAGAGGTGATGCTATTGCCGTAGCATCCACCGCGGAGCCACCGCGAGAACTCAGATGGCTCCAAGAGGAAGCCCCTCACGTATCTACTGCACATAGCTGCCTCCAAGACTGAGTCTGAGCGGTAGAGGGAGAAGATGGCCAACTCTTCTATTGGCTTGGCTATATTTGGGGACCGGGGTATTTCCAGGGCACCTGCTCCAGGAGCTGCTGAGCTCTGCCATAGATGCCTGGGGATCCTAGATCCAACTGTTTCTGCCTCCATGTTGGAATTCTAAAGTAGAGCCTAGAAGGATGGGACAGCACGATGCTGTAGCCTGAAGAGCTAGGGTCTGCCAATATGATAT